AGCCAGGATTTTAGACTTCAAAACGTGAAAAACAGGCTGGGCATGGTGGTTCATGCCTGTAACCCCGCACTTTGGGAAGCTGAGGCAGGTGGATCACATGGTCAGGAGTTCAAGGCAAACCTGGCCAAGATGGTGAACTGCAGTGTCTGCTAAAAACACAAAACTTAGTTGGGCATGGTGGTGGGTCCCTCTGTAATCCCAGCAACTCTGGAGGGTGTGGCAGATACTTAATCCTGGGAGTTGGAGGTTTCAGTGAGCCAAGATTGTGACACTACACTCCAGCCTGGGCAATAGAATGAGACTCTGTCTCAAAAAAAAAAAACAAAAAAAAAAAAAAATTAAAAGTTCAAAAACAGTAATTGGGGAAACCCCAAATCTTGTCTTTGTTTCTTATTAGTCATCTAGCCATTTCCAAAACAATGGCAATCATGCCAAGCCTTTCAAAAGATGTGGGTTTGATTCATTTTATCCCATTTCAAATGTTTTCTCTAATTGTTATTTCATCATGATAATCTAAAAGAAACCATCTACATAACTAATCACGCATTCAAAAAATATCCTTATTATTTACATTTTAATCTTGTATTACAGTATAGTAGAATCCTGTCATTAGAAATTAATTATGTATAAATTCATTGTTTTTAAAGTTTTTTAAATGTGAAAATGAACAATTTGGTATGCTTTTTGAAGGAAGTTCAATTTGGCTGGGCATGGTGGCTCACACCTGTAATCCCAGCATTTTGGGAGGCCGAATTGGGCAGATCATGAGGTCAGGAGATCGAGACCGTCCTGCCTGACATGGTGAAACCTTGTCTCTACTAAGAATCAAAAAAAAAAAAAAAAAAAAAAAATTACCCAGGCATACTGGAACATGGCTGTAATTTCACCTACTCAGGAGGCTGAGAATCACTTCAACCCAGGAGACAAAGGTTGCAGTAAGCTGAGATCGCACTACTGCACTCCTGCTGCATGACAAAACAAGACTGCATCTCAAACAAAACAAAACAAAGTTTAATTCTAGAACATTACCCACTGGTCTTTATGGTATTTCTTTAATTAATAGTGTAAAACAGAGTTACCTAAATGGTACAGACATGCTGGTTGATTAAGTTCAGGCCTCTTAGTAGAGTATTGGTATTCAAGAGGCTGATCATTCACTACAGGTTACTAAATGTTGTTCCATAATGCCAGTGAGCACTTTTACCCAGGTTACCTTTTTCCTACCATTAATGTGGTCCTGCTGCTCTTCAGCTGTTCCAAATGAGAGGTGATTGTTTCTTCCATGCATGAGATTCCCTTTCTTTCCCTCTGCCATAGGATCCTCTTATTCTCCCTACTGGAAGTGACATGCAGAAGGCAGGAATGCTGACAATATACAAACACGTTTCCTGCCGTGTGGCCACCATAAGCAGCTTACAACATGGCCCACCTTCACACCTACTTTCAGGCCAGCAGGGTTGTTTTTCTATGTGTCTACTTCTCTTAAAATCACCTCTGATTAAGTTTAGCACAATCAGGATAATCCCCATTTTGAGAAATGAAAAGTCAACACATGAGTAACATGATTTCATGAGTGACTTCCCAGCACACTCACACATTTTCTTACACTCAAGAGGAAAGGATTACACAGCAGGTGTGCAACAGACTGAGAATCTGGGGTATTATCTTAGAATGTTGCCTATGCACCAGAATAAACTTTTAAACAGACTTTCTGCAACTGTTGTTATCTCCATAAACAAAGATATCATCTGCATATAATAACTACTTTCCAGTTTTATTCATTACAAATATTAACTTTTTTTCTGGCTTATTTTTTCCTTATGTACCATTTTATACATTCACAGACACATAGATGGATAAAAATGTATCCAATTATTCAATTTTGAATAAATTTTTATTAAAATAAATGTTAAAATAATATATATATTTTTTGTTTCTGTTTGAAGAGGGCTTTTATTGTTGTACTCAAGAGTGTTATTTCTGTAGATAAAGTTGCCTGTGCTTTAACAGGCAGGTTCTGGGGAGCATCTAAAACATACGCCATAAAATTTTACATTAATAAATTCAATACAAAGCAGAAAGTATAGCTTTCAGCATTTTCAAGATATTTAGTTTTCTTAGTCAACTAATTAAAATGTGTTTTGTTTCAATAATTGCTCTTTTCTTAAAATACACACAAAACTCATATTCACATAAATACTCACTTGATAATTTTTTTACAACTAAGGTCTTTATTCAGAGTAATATGTGTAATTTAACTATGTAAATTAAAAATAAAAGGCACTATGTTGGCAGTCAGAGAGCATACGTTCAAAGAAAACTGTATAACAAATATTTATTAGTAATTTTTCAGAACTGTAAAATGTAAGGATTTTATTTATATTTCTTTTTTTCTTTGAAATGGAATCTCACTTTGTTGCCTAGGCTGGAGTACAATGCCATGATCTTGGGTCTATGCAACCGCCATCTCCCAGTTCCAAGCCATTCTGCGGACTCAGCCTCCAGATGTGAGCCACCATGCCTGGCTACTTTTTTTTTTTTTTTGAGACAGGGTTTCGCTCGTTACCCAGGCTGGAGTTCAATGGCGCGATCTCGGCTCACTGCAAACTCCACCTCCTGGGTTCAAGCAATTCTCCTGCCTCAGCCTCCCAAGCAGCTGTGACTACAGGTGTGCGCCACCATACCCAGCTAATTTTTTGTATTTTTAGTAGACAGGGTTTCACCATGTTGACCAGGATGGTCTTGATCTCTTGACCTCGTGATCCACCCGTCTCAGCCTCCCAAAGCGCTGGGATTATAGGCATGAGCCACTGTGCCCGGCGCCTGGCTACTTTTTATATTTACTAGAGTCACGTTCCATCATGTTACCCAGGTTGGTCTTGAACTCCTAACCTCAGACAATCCAGCTGCCTTGCCTCCCAAAGTGTTGGGATTATAGGTGTGAGCCACCTGTATCCCAGCCATCTGTGCCCAGTCATAGTTTTTACAGTCAACACTCTGATTTAGTATAATCTCTGAAATTTAGTGCCTTATTTATCTACTGTAAATTCTGATATTTACATACAATTAATTTTGAATTAAAAAATTTTTTATAGGGCCGGGCGCGGTGGCTCAAGCCTGTAATCCCAGCACTTTGGGAGGCCGAGGCAGGTGGATCACGAGGTCAAGAGATCGAGACCAACATGGTCAACATGGTGAAACCCCGTCTCTACTAAAAATACAAAAAATTAGCTGGGCATGGTGGTGTGTGCCTGTAATCCCAGCTACTCAGGAGGCTGAGACAGGAGAATTGCCTGAACCCAGGAGGTGGAGGTTGCAGTGAGCCGAGATCGCGCCATTGCACTCCAGCCTGGGTAACGAGAGTGAAACTTTGTCTCAAAAAAAAAAAAAAAAAAAAAAAAATTTATATTTACTCCCTCTATAAAACTACATTTTAGTATAGACTCTCTGGTGTTTTTTATGCTATAGTTTTTGGGAAAAAAAAAAAAGAGTTTTCCAATGCATTACATTTGTAGGACTCTTCTGCAAAATAAATTCCCTGAATTTGAACAAAGCTTGAGCAACTCCTGTAGGGTATCCTCTAGTGCAAAATGCTTGCAATAAGATCTGTAATACCCGTAAAGGTACTACAACCCCTTTGTATTTGTTACTGTTTTTGAGAATACTTTTCTTAACTTTAAAGGCTTATATTTTCTGTAAGATTTTTTGACAGTAATTGCACTTTCATGCTTTTATTAAATATGAGCCTTTTTATGTTGTGTAATATGTGAGTAGGCATTAAGGGGTTTCCATAGTCTTTATATTTATAAAATTTTTCTCAAGCATAATAGCTTTCCTGTGAAATAAGCTGTAAGCATTAATTAAAAGTTTCCCCACATTCTTCACAATTGCAGTTTTGCCAGTATGAATTATCTTACCTACAATCAAGTGTGGCAACTCGATAAGGACTTTGTCACATTTTTTACATTTCTAGGGTTTCACACTAGTATATATGCTCTTATGTACAGAAAAGTTAGAGGTGTTGGTAAAAGCACTGTCCCATAATTCCGTTTTTTGTAGAGTCCCTCTTCAGTATGAATAATCACCATTGTGACGTTCGTCACGTTGAGGTCACCACTGGGCATGGGTCTGTACTGAAGATCCTGACTCAGTGACAAATCAATAAATACACTCAGATAATAGAGTGTAAGAGGCAGAATAGGGGATTGTGAGCTGCTCAAAGAGAGTGATCACAGCTACATTATAACTACTTGTTGTTCCTCATCAGATTTATTCAGTATAGATTTAATTACGAAGGTTTCAAGTGAACGTGCTTGTGGATAATTAACATGGTTAAAATAGTGGTTTTACAAATGCTGAAAGCTCAGATTCCAGTACCCAGAGTAAACACCATTAATGGGTATCTCCCTGGTTGACCTCACCTCAAGATGGCCATCTGGGGTGATCAAAGGTTGCTGAGTAAACAATAAGAACTGATTTAACAAAAGAACTAAGAACTTGTGACTGGATGTAGTGGCTCATGCCTGTAATCCCAGCACTTTAGGAGGCCGAGTTGGGTTGATCACCTGAGGTCAGAAGTTCAAGACCAGCCTGACAAATATGGCAAAAGACTGTCTTTATTAATACACACAAGTTAATATTGTGTGGTTGTGGGCACCTGTAATCCCAGGTACTCGAGAGGCTGAGGCAAGGGAATGGCTTGAATTCAGAAGGCAGAGGTTGCAGTGAGCCAAAATTTTGCCACTGCACTTCATCCTGGGTGATGAGAGTAAAACTTTTGAACTTCTTATAGAATTTGCCAAATTCTTCACACTTGTGGGGTTTCTGTCCAATATAAATTATAAGGGTTGAGATCTTCCTTGAAAACTCTGTCACATTCTTTATATTTGTAGGGCTTATGTTTCATATAAATTCTCACATTTAGTAAGAGTTGAGGGCTGGTTAAAGGCTTTCCTACATTCATTACATTCATAGGGTTTCTCTCTGGTATGAATTATTTTATGTCCACTGAGGCATGAGAATGAGGGAAAGTTTTTTCCACATTCTTTACATCTTTAGGGTTTCACTGTAGTATGAATTTTCCAGTATGTAGTAGCAAAAGAGGACTTTTTAAAGGTTTTGCTACATTCTTCACATTTGTAGGTTTTATCTCCAGCATGAGTTATCTTATTTGTAGTAAGGATTGCAGATTAGGAAAAAGTGTTGCCACATGCTTAACATCTGTAGGGTTTCCCTAGAGTATGAATTTTTTATGTGTAGTAAGGTGTGAGGCCTGCTAGAAATCTTTTCCACGTTCTTCACATCTGTAGGGTTTCTCTCCAGTATAAATTTTCTATGTGTAGTAAGGTGACAGGATCTCTTAAAGGCATTGCCAAATTCCTCACATTTGTAGGGTTTCTCTCCAATATGAATTATCTTATGTGCAGCAAGGTTTGAGAAGTATGTAAAGGCTTTGCCACATTCTTTGCATTTGTAGGGTTTCTCTCCAATATGAATTCTCTTATGTTAAGAGTTGAGGATGCAGTAAAGGCTTTTCCACATTCTTCACATTTGTAGGGTTTGTCTCCAGTATGAATTATCGTATGTGTAGAAAGGGTTGAGGAATATGTAAAGGCTTTGCCACATTCTTCACATCTGTAGGGGTTTCCTCTAGTATAAATTTTCTTATGTGTAGAAAGGTAAGAGTAGTGCTTAAAGGCTTTGCCACATTCTTCACATTTGTTGCATTTCTAATATGTATTTTCTTATGTCTAGTAAGGTGTGAGGCCTGGTTGAAAGCTTTTCCACATTCTTCACATCTGTAGGGTTTTTCTCCAGTATGAATTTTCTTATGTTTAGTAAGGTAAGAGGATTTCTGAAAGGCTTTTCCACATTCTTCACATTTGTAGGGTTTTTCTCCGGTATGAATTCTCTGATGTATAAAAAGGGTTGAGTAGTGTGTAAAGTTTTTGCCACATTCTTTACATTTGAAGGGTTTTTCCCCTGTATGAATTCTCTTATGTGCAGAAAGGTTTGAGGAGCATGGAAAGTCTTTGCCACATTCTTCACATCTATAGGGTTTCTCTCCGGTATGAATTCTTTTATGTGTAGTAAGGTAAAATGACTTCTTAAAGGCTTTGCCACATTCTTCACATTTGTAGGGTTTCTCTCCAGTATGAATTATCTTATGAGTAGAAATGGGTGAGGAATATGTAAAGGGTTTGTCAAATTCTTCACATCTGTAGGGGCTCTCTCCAGTATGAATTTTCTTATGTGTAGTAAGGTAAGAGGAGTGCTTAAAGATTTTCCCACATTCTTCACATGTATTGCATTTCTCTCTAATATGTATTTTCTTATGTCTAGTAAGGTGTGAGGCCTGCTTGAAAGCTTTTCCACATTCTTCACATCTGTATGGTTTCTCTCCAGTATGAATTTTTTTATGTTTAGTAAGGTAAGAGGACTTCTGAAAGGCTTTTCCACATTCTTCACATTTGTAGGGTTTTTCTCCGGTATGAATTCTCTTATGTGTAAAAAGGGTTGAGTAGTGTGTAAAGTTTTTGCCACATTCTTCACATTTGAAGGGTTTTTCCCCAGTATGAATTCTCTTATGTGCAGAAAGGTTTGAGGAGCATGGAAAATCTTTGCCACAGTCTTCACATCTATAGGGTTTCTCTCCAGTATGAATTCTTTTATGTGTGGTAAGGTAAAATGACTTCTTAAAGGCTTTTCCACATTCTTCACATTTGTAGGGCTTCTTTTCAGTATGAATTATCTTATGTGAAGCAAAGTTTGAGGAATTCGTAAAGGCTTTGCCACATTCTTCGCATTTGTAGGGTTTCTCTCCAGTATGAATTCTCTTATGTGTAGTAAGGTAAGAGGAGTGCTTAAACGCTTTGCCACATTCTTCACATTTGTAGGGTTTCAATCCAGTATGAATTATCTTATGCGTAGAAAGGGGTGAGGAATATGTAAAGGGTTTGCCAAATTCTTCATATATGTATGGTTTCTCTCCAGTATGAATTTTTTTGTGTTTAGTAAGGTAAGAGGACTTCTGAAAGGCTTTTCCACATTCTTCACATTTGTAGGGTTTTTCTCCGGTATGAATTCTCTTATGTGTAAAAAGGGTTGAATTGTGTGTAAAGTTTTTGCCACATTCTTCACATTTGAAGGGTTTTTCCCCTGTATGAATTCTCTTATGTGCAGAAAGGTTTGAGGAGCATGGAAAGTCTTTGCCACATTCTTCACATCTATAGGGTTTCTCTCGAGTATGAATTCTTTTATGTGTACTAAGGTAAAATGACTTCTTAAAGGCTTTTCCACATTCTTCACATTTGTAGGGTTTCTTTTCAGTATGAATTATTTTATGTGCAGCAAGGTTTGAGGAATTCGTAAAGGCTTTGCCACATTCTTCACATTTGTAGGGTTTCACTCCAGTATGAATTCTCTTATGTGTAGTGAGGTAAGAGGAGTGCTTAAACCTTTTCCCACATTCTTCACATTTGTAGGGTTTCTCTCCAGTATGAACTCTCTTATGTGTACTAAGGTAAGAAGAGTCCTTAAGGCTTTTCCCACATTCTTCACATTTGAAGGGTTTCTCTCCAGTATGAAGTATCTTATGTATGGTAAGGCATGAGGAGCAGTTGAAGGTTTTGCTACACTCTTTACATTTGTAGGGTTTATCTCTAGTGTAACTTTTCTTATGTGTAGTAAGGGTTAAAGACTGGTCAATAGCTTTGCCACATTCTATATGTTTGAAAATTTTTCTTCCAATGTGTTTTATCTTATGTCTGTTGGAATTTGAATGCTTATAAAAGACTTTCACATATTTATCACATTGAAATATTTTTCTCTGGGTACTTGTCAAATTTTGGTTAAGTCCATTATAACCTGCTTTGTCCACATGACACTCACCTACACATTCACAGCTGGTATTTAACTGTAAATTGTGATGTCCACATTTTTCATATCTTCTCAGTATCATTTCTTGGAAAGAATCTTTTATGCTCCACTCTGGCCAAAGGTCTTGGGCAAAATGAAAATATGTAACTGAAAGAAACAATAAAAACACATTACTTCAATCGCTAGACTCAGATAAGTACACTTTAAAAATCTAACACATAAAATTATACAAACTACAGAAGCGAGATGATATAAAAAAATACCACAAGCTGTAATTTCTTCCTGGACATATAAATGTAACAAAAAGATACCGACCCCAAAATCCATTTATATAAAATGTATAAGTGTGTTAAGTGTGTGAAGGGCCCCGGATGAGCACAATGCAAAGAGCCACATAGAAGAAAAATAAGTCTGGTTTTTTTTTTTTTTTTTTGAGACGGAGTTTCGCTCTTGTTACCCAGGCTGGAGTGCCATGGCGCGATCTCGACTCACTGCAACCTCCGCCTCCTGGGTTCAGGCAATTCTCCTGCCTCAGCCTCCTGAGTAGCTGGGACTACAGGCACGCGCCACCATGCCCAGCTAATTTTTTGTATTTTTAGTAGAGACGGGGTTTCACCATGTTGACCAGGATGGTCTCTATCTCTTGACCTCGTGATCCACCCGCCTGGGCCTCCCCAAGTGCTGGGATTACAGGCTTGAGCCACTGCGCCTGGCCGTAAAAGTCTGTTTCTTATACCTGACACAGGTCGTCGTCGTCGTTAGGATAACATTTTGCCGTTAAAAGTAAATTCCCAGCCAGGCCTGGTTGCTCATGCCTGTAATCCCAGCACTTTGGGAGGGTGACAGGGGTGAATCATAAGGTCAGATATTGAAGACCAACATGGCCAAGATGATGAAAACCCATCTCTACTAACAATACAAAAAATTTACTAGGTGTGGTCGCAGATATCTGTAATCCCAGCTACTTAAGAACCTGAGGCAGAAAACTGCTTGAGACTGGGAGGCAGAGGTTGCAGTGAGCTGAGATGGTGCCACTGCACTCCACCATATGTGACAAAGTGAAACTGCCTTAAAAAAAAAAAAAAAAAAAAAGTAAACTGCCAGACAGGCATGATGTGTCATGCCTGTAATCTTAGCACATTGGATGAACAAGGCAGGAGGATTACCTTAGGTCAGGAGTTTGAGACAAGCCTGACCAACCAGGTGAAATCCCATCTTTACTAAAAATACAAAAATTAGCCAGATGTGGTAACAGATACCTATAATCCTAGTTACTTGGGAGACTGAAGCAGGAGGATTGCTTGAACTGTGGAGGCAGAGATTGTAGTGAGCCAAGATCATGTCACTGCACTCCAGCTTAGGTAACAGAGTGAGACTGTCTCACACGCACAAAAATGTAAATTGCCACCTACTGGTTTCTTTTTTAAAAAACAAGAAATAAGGGTCGGACGCGGTGGCTCAAGCCTGTAATCCCAGCACTTTGGGAGGCCGAGGCGGGTGGATCATGAGGTCAAGAGATCGAGACCATCCTGGTCAACATGGTGAAACCCCGTCTCTACTAAAAATACAAAAATTAGCTGGGCATGGTGGCACATGCCTGTAGTCCCAGCTACTAGGGAGGCTGAGGCAGGAGAATTGCTTGAACCCAGGAGGCGGAGGTTGTGGTGAGCCGAGATCGTGCCACTGCACTCCAGCCTGGGTAACAAGAGCGAAACCCCGTCTCAAAAAAAAAAAAAAAAAAAAAAAACAAGAAATATATTGACAAATGCATCCTTATTTCTCAGTTTTAGGGACCTTTGTAGACACTAGTTAATGCCTCCCATGACATAAAGTGCTGAAAGAAATGATGATATATGTTGGAGTGACAGTTTGAGTATGCTGAGTCTAAAGATAAATGATACAGAAGCAGAGAAAATGCAGTACCCCTCACAGGAAATGGGTGTAGCAAGTGATGACTGATTATTAATAAGAAGAAATATGAGTAAGCCAATTTAACTAAACACTAAACACAAAATTTTGGACAAGACACATCCTAACAATATCTCTGATAAATTCTCAGAAGGTCTAGCCAAGACAATTGTTTTCAAACTACACCAAAACAATGCTACATTATAAAGATTGTAAGAAGTAGTTTTGTTAATGTCAAGATCTCAAAGATTACAATGTATACAAAATATGAGAGCAACACAGCTTCATCAAAAAAATTAGAAAATTTTCAAAAGCAACTACAAAATGTATATAAAGTAATTTTTTTTTTTTTAAAGAACCAGTGTCACTCTGCTGCTCAGGCTGGAGTGCACTGGTGATCTCAATTCCCTGTAACCTCCACCTGCCCAAGTGATGCTCCTGCCTCAGTCTCCCCAGTATCTGGGATTACAGTGTGTACCACCACACCTGGCTAATTTTTGGGGGCTATTTTTTTTGGTAATTTTTAGTAGAGATAGGGTTTTAACATCTTGGCAAGGCCAGTCTTGAACTTCTGACTTCGTGACCCACCAGCCTCCTCCTCCAAAAGTGCTGGGAATACAGGCATGAGCCACCATGCTGGATCTAGTATTTATAAAATTCCAAAAAAAATTTAACAGGTCAGGCTTGGTGGCTTATTCCTGAAATTCAAACACACTGGGAGGCCAAAGTGAGAAAATCACATGGGGTCAGGAGTTTGAGACCCACCTGAAGCCAAGTGCAGTGGCTCATGCATGTAATCCCCGCACTGCAGGAGGCTGAGGCAGGCGGATCAACTGAGGTTGGGAGTTAAAGACCAGCCTAAACAATATGGAGAAACCTTGTCTCTACTAAAAATACAAAATTTAGCAGGCATGGTGGCTAATGCCTGTAATCTCAGCTACTCAGGAGACTGAGGCAGGAGAATCATTTGAACCTGGGAAGCAGAGGTTGTGGTGAGACGAGATTATGCCACTGAACTCCAGCCTGGGTGACAGAAAAAGTCTCCAATTCAGAAAAATAAATAAATAAATAAATAAATAAAATTGCATAATATTGAATAAGTGAAATAAAAACACAAAGAATTACCAAATATCAAAAAAATGGGAATAACAACAAGACACATTAAAATTGCAAAAAAACAGAAACTGTGGATATAAAAAATAACTGAAAAGTTTCTTAAAAGAAAAAATGGGCCAGGCACAGTGGCTCACACTTGTAATCCCAGCTTTTTGGGAGGTGAGGTGGGTAGATCACTAGGTTAAGAGACCAAGACCATCCTGGCCTACATGGTGAAACCCAGTCTCTACTAAAAATATAAAATTTTGTCCAGACACAGTGGCTCACATTTGTAATCCCAACCGTTTGGGAGTCTGAGGCCGGCAGATCACAAAGTAAGGAGATCGAGACCATCCTGGCTAACACAGTGAAACCCCATCTCTACTGAAAATACAAAAAATTAGCCAGGTATGGGGGCATTCGCCTGTAGTCCCAGCTACTTGGGAGGCTGAGTAGGAGAATCACTTGAACCCTGGAAGTGACGGTTGTGGTGAGCTGAGCTGAAATCGCGCCATTGCACTTTTGCCTGGATAAGAATGAAACAACTTCTTTTTTTTTTTTTTTTTTGAGACAGAGTTTCACTCTTATTACCCAGGCTGGAGTGCAATGGCGCGATCCCGGCTCACCGCAATCTCCGCCTCCTGGGTTCAGGCGATTCTCCTGCCTCAGCCTCCTGAGTAGCTGGGATTACAGGCACGCGCCACCATGCCCAGCTAATTTTTTGTATTTTTAGTAGAGACGAGGTTTCACCATGTTGACCAGGATGGTCTCGATCTCTTGACCTCGTGATCCACCCGTCTCGGCCTCCCAAAGTGGTGGGATTATAGGCGTGAGCCACCGCGCCCGGCCCAAGAATGAAACAACTTCTAAAAAAAAATTGGCTGGGTGTGGTGGCAGGTGCTGTAATCCAAGCTACTCGAGAGGCTGAGGCAAGAGAATCGCATGAACTCAGGAGGCAGAGGTTGCAGTGAGCTGAGATTGCAGCTACTGCACACCAGTCTGGTGACAGGCATTGCTCTGTCTCAGAAAATGAAAAAAAAAAAATGAAAAAGCTGAACAAACTAGGATACACACAACGATATTTATAACAAACACACATATTAGCAAAATTTCAAAAATTACACATAAGAGAATTTTGGGAGCTGCAAGATAAAAACGATGTGACATTTATAAGCACAGTCTCATGAGATAACCAGTGAATTTATCAAAAATAATTTGTAGGTCAGAAGGAAATGTGTCATATTGTTGTTATAATTTTTTTTTTTTTTTTTTTTGAGACGGAGTTTCGCTCTTGTTACCCAGGCTGGAATGCAGTGGCGCGATCTCGGCTCACCGCAACCTCCGCCTCCTGGGTTCAGGCAATTCTCCTACCTCAGCCTCCTGAGTAGCTGGGATTACAGGCACGTGCCACCATGCCCAGCTAATTTTTTGTATTTTTAGTAGAGACGGGGTTTCACCAAGTTGACCAGGATGGTCTCGATCTCTCGACCTCGTGATCCACCCGCCTCGGCCTCCCAAAGTGCTGGGATTACAGGCTTGAGCCATCGCGCCCGGCCGATGTTAGTTATAATTTTTTAAAGAAAGCTCTCAGGTGGGAATAATATCATCATCAAAATTGTACTACCAAATAATAAAAAATCCTTCAAAAAAAAAAAAAAATCCTGAGAAAGTATACTGGCACTGCATATGCCCTATATATCCAAGATGCTGAAAGGAGTTTCCTTCACTGGAAATATTATAATGCAAGAAAACAACACAAAATCATATGAAAACACGTAACTTCTGGAAAAGATATGCATACACAAAAAATGGAATTTCTTATTTAACAATCTTCCAATAGTGTAGAGATTTTTAATTATTCTCTAAAATTTAAAAGAGTATTTATTTATTTATTTATTTATTATTATTATTTTTTTTTTTTTTGAGACGGAGTTTCGCTCTTGTTACCCAGGCTGGAGTGCAATGGCGCGATCTCGGCTCACCGCAACCTCCGCCTCCTGGGTTCAGGCAATTCTCCTGCCTCAGCCTCCTGAGTAGCTGGGATTACAGGCATGTGCCACCATGCCCAGCTAACGTTTTATATTTTTAGTAGAGACGGGGTTTCACCATGTTGACCAGGATGGTCTCGATCTCTGGACCTCGTG